GGGCGGGGGGGGGGCCAGGTCCGCGGGGCCGCCCCCGGCCGAGGGGTCGGGGGGCCCAGCCGGGGGCCGCCCGCTGGTGCCTGCCGTGTCCTCCACCACGTCTGCGAGGGGGAGCGATGGTGCGGCCTTAACGAGGAGGCTAACAACCACCTCAGTGTCCAATCAACCCAGCGTCCAACCAACCCAACGTCCAACAAAACATGACAACATCCAGCCAGTGACCCCAATGTCCAACCACCCCAACATCCAACCAACCACCCCAATGTCCAAACCAACCACCCCCATCGTCCAACCAACCACCCCAACACCCAACAAAACATGACAACATCCAGCCAGTGACCCCAATGTCCAACCACCCCAACATCCAACCAACCACCCCATTGTACAACCAACTACCCCAGCATCCAACGAACCACCCCAACGTCCAACCAACCACCCCAAAGGCCACTCAATCAACCCCCCAACCAGCAAGTCCACCCTGCACCACCCCCTGCGCCGAGCTGATGGCCCCAAGAGAGGACCCTTGCGGGCCCCTGCAGCGGGAGGACTCACCCGAGAGGAAGGTGACCTCGCTGAAGAGCATCCACTCGCTGGCGAAGAAGAAGTGGCACTGGATGAAGCGGGCCTGGCGTCCGCCCAAGGGGATGGTGACCAGGCGGGCGCTGGGGTCCTTGACAGCCCCGCCCAGGCTGTGGGAGGCCGGGGTGGGCTCCCAGGCGGTGGCCAGGCTCTTCTTGAACCGACACTCCACCTCGCTGAAGATGCTCACCCCCCGCGTGTGCATGTTGTTGCAGTGCACCTAGGGGGAGACGGGGTGGTGGGGGGGGTCAGCTGCTGTCCCACAAGGCCTTGGGGCACCCAGGAGGCGAATGCCAGCCCCAAGCTGGTCCCACAACACCTTGGGGCAAGGGGGTCCTGCAAGGGACCACCAGGTCCAAACCTGGGGTAGATGTGGTGGCCCCTCATGGGGAACCCATCCCATGATGCCCTAGGGCACCCCATCACCCACACTCCTGTGATGCCCTGGGGCACCAATTGCCCGCTCCCATGATGTCCTGAGCCCACACTCCCATGATGCCCTGGGGCCCCCCATTGACCACTCCCATGATGCCCTGGGGCACCCCATTGACTCCCCTACCATGATGCCCTGGGGCCCCCCATCACCCACACTCTCATGATGCCCCAGGGCACCCATTGCCCACTCCCATGATGTCCTGGGCCCACACTCCCATGATTCCCAGGGGCGCCCGTCGCCCAGA